TGGGAATTTGCCGAGGGGACCTTAGCGGCTCTGGCGGGGACCCGGAGCCCAAGGTCTGCTGTGCGCCCGCCGGGCGGGAAGCCAGGGAGCGGCGCAAGTTTCCGAGCCGCTCTAGGGGACCGGGCGCCAGCGAGCGAGAGAGCCCAGTGTGCAGTGATCCGGACCAGGCTGGGAGACGAAAGAATGAGCAGTGACCAGAGCGCACCAGGACGGCCAGGCAGCCTTCTTGGCGGCCGAGAGGCGGCGGCGCGGCCCCGACTGCTGCTGCTACTGGCTCTTCTGGGCTACATGGGCCGCTGCGGAGCGGCGGAGGACGCAGAAGTCCATGCCGAGGTTAGGACCCCTGCCCTGCCCCTTGGCTGGGAATAAGGGAGAGGGAAGCTACGCCCGCAGCCGGGATCCTGGAGGTGGGAGAACGCAGATGCTCCCCCGACACGGGTAGGGTGGACCTGGACCTGCCCCTCCCGGGGCGATGCGGTGCACCTCTTTGAAAGCGCTGGAGGGTATTGGGCTCGCCCCCCGGCCCCCCGCCAGGCTGCTGCTGTGAGCGCTGACCCTCCCAGGGCTCGAGGCGCCTCTTCCGCCGCCCCCAGTCCATCTCCTGTCTTTCCTTCCTTCGCGGGCAGCTGATTCCTCGAGAGCCCGACTGGTGCGGGGTGGCGCTCTGCGAGCGGGGAGGGGGCTGCCGGAGGTGGAGACGCGGGCGGAGTAGGAGCTGAGCAGTCCTCCTGCTGAGGTAGCTCGTGGCCTGGGTGACACGGTGCGTCGTTCAGCCGGCCGGGGTGGGGGAGGGCTGCGAACTGCCGAGACAGCGGACTCGGCTTGGGCTTGCGGCGGCGCTTTGGCGACTTTCCTGCGCTTTGGCGCTGAAGCCTCTCCACGCCCGCTAAATCTCCGAGGGCGAGAAACCTCCCTCCTCCGGCATCACTTCCCATGAGAGCCCTAAGGCGAGGCCTGGATGGGAGGGGGCTAGACTTCGCGCCTCTTTTCTCTAGAAGCCAGTCTCACTTCCCTTCGCCGGCCCCACTCTGGATTGGTCCCGCGGGTGACCAGGCACAGCCTCCCAGCTGACCCCGAACCTATGGCTCCTGGGGGGCTCCCAGCGCCATCTCGCTCCAGAGCAAAAACAGGGTCTGTTCTTCCCTGAATTTTCTGACGTTACTACCTGCCCCATAGAATATGTGGAGCTTGGGCGAGAAGTAGAGAAGCGAGGACCACCCTGGAACCTCCTCTGCGCCGGCCCGGGTAGTCTCCCACCTCTGTGCCCTTGGGCTGCCCCGGCTTCGGGCCCAGAGAGCGCCTGAGCGTTGTTGCTATTTGCAGCCCGGCCGGTGCTCCCTCCCAGCCCTCTGCGGCTTCCCCACCTCCCCCGTTTGCCTGGCCTGGGAGATTTTTCCGCTGGAAGCCTGCTCCTTCCCCGCCCTACTTTTATAAAAGCTTGGAGGAAGGGCTGGGGATTCCTCTCAGGCTCAAGTTACACCTCCAACCAGTTCCCTACCTGCTCTGCCCTCCCGCCAAAGCCACGCCAGGAAAAGCTGTGGGAGCCAGGCCTTGCTCAGTCTCCTGCTGCCCCCCACCCCAGCCCCTTACACATTACACGGGCCATAGACTGACTTAGGGGCACCTGCTGATGAGACTGCCTGTTAGCCTGTGACCCAAGTACTGGGTGGAGAGTACCTGGGGCCCACCTGCCACTGGAGTACCAAAGATTTTCAAGTCACAGATTCATTCTTAAGGAGTATGTAATCTATTTAGAGATGGCATTTCCAGTCTCTAGTGATTACAGACTAAGCTGGAGTTTGGATTTGGTGCTTTGTGAATGGGCATCCTATATAGCCAGGGGCAGAGGATGCTGGATCTGTGATCTGAAGGCCTTCATACTCCCTTGGCTTCTGCAAGTCAGTCAGTACACACACACCCCCATGTCCTCCTGGCTGAGGAGCTCAGCACCACGAGGGCAGAGAGCCTGGGCTGCACTGAGGCCACAAGCCATGGCTTTAAGCCTGTGGTGGCACTGGCTACAGATTCTGACCAGCCCAAAGCCTCACTCCTAGGAATCAATTTGGGTTGGGCCATGGCTGTGGCTAGAAAGGACTCCGGAACGTTTAAGGAGCCTCAAATCTTAGGAGACACTGTGGCTAGAAGGCTAGCGATAGATAAGACTGACCTAGCTCCTAGAGCTGGCTTTGGGGTATAGATTGCCTCTGCAGTCCCATCAGGTCTAAGCAAATCATATCAGGACCCAACAGTGGTCCCTGTAACCAGCGCATCTGCTCAGAGAATCCTAGACTTTGCTTATACCTTGTCCAGAGCCTCCTTCCTTGGAAGAGGGCTGTAGTCCTCATCCCAAAAATGTCCACACCTCCAGACCTCTGGTCTGCTTGTGTCTGGGACCTTCTCTGAGCACCCTGGCAGCTGAGCCAAAGCCAACCCTGTCCTCTTCCTTTCATCCTCACAGTGTGGAAGCCTGAGGAGTTTCATCAGGCTGAGGAATCAGGCCAGAACCTGATAAATACTTGTAACCTGCCAGGCCCCCACCCAGAGAAAACTGTCTCCCTTGGTGAAGCCACCACTGAGCTGCTCTAGTTCCCATCTCTAGCCATTGTGTACCGGAGCCCCACCTGGCAGAGGTGCCAATTGTAGCTCTGGCCAAATGGGCAGACTCCAAGCCCCCATCAGGTTTACCCTTTCTGGCTACAGTTGTGAGCCAACTTCAATGTCTTTGGTTTTCACTGGAGAAACTGTCTGTCCCCCTGCCACCAGTCAGGACTTCAACTCTCTCATCCTAGCCAGTGGTGATGATTCAGACTGCCCAAGTTCACAGTTCACAGTTAATGGTGCCACCACTACCAAAACAGACACAACCACCTGAACAAACCCAAGAGTATCTTCCTGCCCCTACCTGACCACAGGGTGAGCAAAACAGAAGGGTGGGATCAGCTTGAGTTCTCACTTTGACCTTCAGGCCTGAGGTATGAAAAACAGCCTCAGGCTCCTGTGTACCTATCTCTACTGACATTTCATTGCTGGTTGCTGAGGGGTACCCCTGGTGGAGCAGAAACTACAGATGCCCTTTGCCCACCCTAAGGAGAAGGGGGTTCTCTTCAGGGTCCTGTCTCTGGGAACCTGCAAAAGTTGAATGCTCTCTTCTTGCTGTTAACCCACCACTCCTCTCCGCCTGCTGTGGTTCAAAACTCAGGCCAGGGATGGGGATCTGATGGGGCCATGGCCCTGTGTTTGGGCAGCGCCTGAGCACAGCCATCCATCATCTCTTCCAGGGACCAGCACAGTATGTGCTTGTCTGAGAAGCATATGGTGCTGTGTGTGGTGACCCCCAGAAACAAACACCTTTTGCCTCACTCAAGAAAGGTGGAGACTTTCAAAAGACATCCCTGAATCGGACACAGGAAAGCACAGAAACATACCCACAAAGGAACAAGAGTTCCTTTAAAAGCCCAGCACCCACCCTCCAGATCAAGCACAGGCTCAGAATGGCCACACTGTGGGCCTGGAAGAGCTCCTCCCTGCCATGCACTTGGTTCTGGCTACCCTCCATTCCCCTTTTGTTTCTTGATACAGATGTTCTCTGACACATCACCACTGCCCAACTTGGAGTTTGGCTTCTACCAGGGGCGATCTGTGGTAGTATCACTGTTTCCTAGCTCAGATCAAAGTTGGCATCCTCAATGTTGTCCCAAGACTTACATGGCTAACACTTGGGGACACTCAGCCTGGCAAAACCTCATAGCTACTGTTTTGCGCATGGAGAGTCAGCAGTAGAGAGGGGTTGAAAATATGGCCACAGGTAAACATGGGGACCTGGGACCCTGAAGGTAGCTGAACACTCTGGCTTGAGATACACAGTAGGTGCTTTCTGGCTGGACACCCCTCCTCCCCAGGTCTTGAGAATTAGGGCTCCCATGAGGACATGTATTCCAGGGCTCTCTGGAGATCCTGGTGGGGCTAGGCCCTTTGTGAGAGGTAGCACAGATTTTACAGCCTTAGACAAGAATGGCATCGGTGTGTGAGCTGGGCTTGGGTCAGGAGAACAAAGAAGGAGACCTTTTACCAGATCCCATTCTTCTGGAGGAAAGGGGAAGAAATAGCAGGAAGACCCACCGCAACCTCTGGTGTCAGGATAAATGGATGACGACCTGGGTACCAGCCATTAGCCAGCCTTGGAGGTGATCCCCATCCTACTGCAATCTGAAGGCTGCCCCACGAGATCTGTGAAGCCCAGAGGCCAGAGTCGGGGGTCAGCTCTCCAGGGTTGACCTGTAGTCATGGGTCTTCCTGTTCCTTTTCCCAGAAGTGACTGCCACCTTGGAGGAGTGAGAGTTCTCAGCTCTATGTGTAGCACTTAGAAGCATGGCACCTGATACATAGGCAGGCAGTGCTTACAGAATAGTGAAAAAACTAGTAACTGAGAAGCGAGGGGCATTTGATGTTAGGCAAATTACTGAACCTGTCTGAGCTGAGTTTACTGGTCTATAAAATGGTAAAAGAAACAGAACCTACGTGATGGAGTTACTGTGAGATTCATTGTGTTTATATGTAAAACACTAAACAGCTATTTGCAGTGGCTGCAAATGGGGCCCAGAGAGGCTTGGGTGTTATTTTTGAGCTGCTTCTACATGTTAATTGTCTTGGACACAGCCTAGGGGTATGCTGTGCTGTCACATTCATTCTCTGTTTAACTCTTAGTGTGGGTGCTGCATTACCCACTGTAGCTGGAGTCCCCAACCCCAAGCTGCAGGTCACAGGCCAGGGTGCCACTCTGTGCCACTCTGTGAGCTCCTGCGGAGTTTCTGCCAGGCAGGAGCCTGCTGGGCCTGAGCCAGGTAGGAAGGAGGTTTCAGGGGTGGAGCCAGAACTGCCCTGAGCTGTGTAATTGCCACCAGACACCCAGACCCTGCTCTGTGGGGAGCCTCATCTAGGAGTCACCTGCAGGGAGAGTTCCAGGTGAAGCCACAAGGCCTGGCCCCCCTCCAACCCCGAAACTCCTGGCAAACAGAGGCCTCTTTTCACCCTGCCCACGTACCAGCCAAGGGACCCATTTGTTTCTTCCTCCAGATTAAGAAGTGTGGGGGTGGGCTGGGTGGCTGCAGGGTAGAGAAGTGGCAAGAACTTGGGACATGTGCCTCCTTCCTGCTTCCCTGACTGGATGTCCCCAACCATCAAGAGTCCCTGGTCAGCTTTAGCTCAAGTAGTTACTTCCTCACATCAGACTTTCCCAATTATCAGAGTCCCAGCCCACACCTGCAACTCTCCTTAAGACCTGTAGTACAAAGCAGATTTAAGTCTCAGGTGAGCACAGATGTCCTAGAACTGCTTAAATGTGGGTCATGCCCATCCAAAAGGTATCAAGCAAGCCGCCTAGGCCTGGGTGGCCTGGTCAGGCCCCTTTCCTGACTGACCTTGGGGCTGGTTTCATTTGTGCTCTTAACCCTGTCCTGCATTGATTCCATTTTGCAGAAGAGAGACTGAGAGTCAGAGAAGTTGTCTTAACCATTTCAGTTGCTCAAATGCTTATTAAGGGACAAGCAGTCATGACCAGAACCAGTGGCAGAGATGTCACTGGGAGGCCAATTTCTGTTTTGTTTTGGTTTTTTGAGACAGGGTCTCACTATGTAGTTGAGACTGACCTGTGTAGCCCAGGGTGGTCTCGAACTCACAGTGGTCCTCCTGCCTCAGCCTCCTGAGTGCTGGGATTATAGGCCTGAGCCACCACGCCCGGCCCAATTTCTGATCAGTGTGAGGAAAAGGTTGCTGATAGTCACTGCTGCCACAAGATGGAACAGGCTTACTGGCAGCCGGAAGGGGCAGGCTGGATGAGTCCTTGGCCCAGCTGTGGTCCATGGAGGTCTAAGGCAGGTAGTGGGGCTTGATGAGGTTATAGCCCCTTCCAGCATGGGACTGGATGTGTCTGGCACCTGCTCATGGTCACTCAGCTGCTGCATGGATTCCTGGATGGGGCAGGCCCCAGTGGCCTAGAGTACATGTCCTGCTTCTTGCATGGTCTCTGTCTGCCTTAGTACTCATTCCATTCAGCACCTGCTCAGTGTCCAGCTCGGCTGGGAGTGCAGAGCCAGCAGAGCCTTGGCCTGATCCCAAGAGCCTTCAGCAGCAGCAGTATGGAGTCGGGAGACAGGCACAGTGAGGACTCCATGAACCCATGAAAGGTCTGGGGGCTGAGTTCACCACTGGTGGCCCTGACAAGACTCCTTTTGTCCCTGGCTTGGCAAACCTGCCCAGCCCTGCTCAGATTGCAAAGAATTAGGTGAGAGGCAAAGCAGAGCCTCCTTATCACCCAGGTTCTGATAAGGGTACTGTGGAAAGGGGCTGCCTGCATGCCGGCCAACACTACTGATCTGAGCCCTGGAAGAGCTGGCTGAGGCAGGAATGAGCTCTGGTCCCTGCCCCCATCCCCTACAGCTGCTTACTGTACAGTATTGATCTGGCGGCTCTTTCTCAGACGAACCCTCCCTGAAGGCTTGCCTCCAAACTGTCTCAGCAGTCCTGGAGGAGGGGGGTCCTGGCTCAGTGCCCAGAGCCAGCCAGGGATATTGGAAGGGAAGGATTAGATGCTCTCTCCCCCAGTGCTGTGCTGGACACTGTTCCCGAGCAGAGCTAGAGCTCAGTGTCCCCACCTCAAGCCAAGAGAAGCGAGTAGCACTTCAGCAACAGCCTGGGATCTAATAGCACTGCTGAGTCCAGTTCTGACCTGGATCAGCTGTGTGACTCTGGTTGGGCAACTCACCCTGTCTAAACCTTGTTGTCTGTAAGAACAGGAATGGTGACATCTTTCAGTGGTGGTTGTGAGCATGAGATGGGGTGAAGAGCTTGGCCTATGCCAGATTCTCAGATGCTACATTTTTGGCCTCTCCCTTGGGGCCAGGAATCCCTGTTCTGACTCCTGAGGCCCCATCTTCTTGGGGCAGCCACTCACCTGCAGCATTCATAGATACTAACAGGATGAGGTCGGGAGTTTGAGAAAGAAATGGCTGAGAAAACCAGTGTTGGGGTCTCCTGCAGCAGCCCCCACCCCGAGCTACCGGTGGGAGGGGTCCTCTCCTCTGCCACTAGAGTCCTTGTGGAGGGGGAGACCTGCTTCAGATCCTTCCTCTACTCTGCCTCTTATGGGACCTCCTCGAGCCTCAGTTTCCCCACCTGAGAAAGCTTTATCTGCTTGGCTCCTCCTGCGAGATTCTAGATGACAGGAAAAGGAGGCTGCTTGTATAAGCGACAGTTTTTACTGGAACCTGAATACAGCCCAGTCCCGCTTTCATACTGGAAGTTCACAGCCTTGAGCACCGTTCCCACCTTTGCAGCTGAGGTTCTACCTGGAGCTGCCCCCAACCTGGAGGCAGCAGCACCTCTGCATTCTCTTCCCCCCACTGTCTTCCTAACTCATCCTTCCCACCCAAGCTTGTCACCCCTAGCACAGTGGCAGTGTGGTGGGAAACTGCCCCCTGGACACTGAGAGAGGAAAAAGCCCTTAGCCCTATGGGTGGCGCCTGCTGCGCCCTGGTAGATTTATTGGCACTTGGCATTCAGCCATCCCAAGCACGTGTCTGCCAAGCCAGGCAGACTGTCAGCCTCGCCTTGTCATCCAGAGGCTCGGGCTGCTCTGCCAAGGCCATGGTTCCGATTACCTCCCCCTGCTGCCCAAGAGTGTCACTGGCTCTCTGCCTCTGGCTTTTCACCCCAGCGGTGGCTGCCCAGGGTTTGACATTAGGTGGAGAGTGAGATACCCTCATGGCTTCCTGGAGGCTCAGAGTCCCTGTCTGTGAAGGAGGGGCCACAGGCACCCTGGAGGGTCCTTCTGGAAGCAGCGGGAGTTGTCCCTGGATTGAAGAGGCACCTCTGCCCATCCCTTCTGTTCTCTGGAGCTGGTCCCTGCAGACAGCTCAGCTTTCCTCCCCTCCCCTCTCCTTCTCTCCCCAGGGCCCTGCCTGAGCCTCCTGTGCCCTGCCCACCCCTCCTCCTGCGCTCTGCAGACACCACTAATCAGCCCCTCGGTGGCCTATGATTGCGCTCCCGGAGATATTTTTACCTTATGCAAATAGGTGATGTAGAGGTGCCCTCATCTGTCAGCGGCCAGCCCCCACTCTGCCCCTGGCTCCAGCTGCATGCCTGTTGCTGTTAGAGCTGGCCCAGCGCGTGGCCTTGCCCTCCAACCACACCATGCATCTCCGGGAACACTCTCCATTAGGGGGAGGGTAGACCGCCTCCTCCCACCCCCCTGACCACAGACGCTTGGGAAGAACAGGAGCTGTGCCATGACGTGGCCAGTGTCTGACAAAGCTGAGGGAAGACGGTGAGTGAGGAGTTTTTGTGGAAGGGCATGGGCCACTCCTGCCTCCTGAAACTGGCTGGCTGGTCACCAGTGGCATGAAACTGGGACCCTTTAGCTTAGTTGGTAGAGGCAAAATGCTGCCAGCCTCAGGGACAACCAGACAGGTCCCCTGGTCTCCATCATTTATACATTCACTGAGCATTGTCCCGTTTAACCTTTTAGACTCCAGGAGATGAGGCAGGCCCTAAATGAACCCCCTTTTACTGTGACAGCTGAGGCCAGCAAGATTATGAAACCAGGCTTCACCCATCTGTGTATCAGAGCCACCTGCTGTCTGTCAGCTCCATGCCTCTGCCTCCTTGCTTGGCCTCTTCCCTGGGTCTGCAGGCCACACGGCATGGCTGCTCCCCCAGACTGTGATTCTGCCCGCTGGGCTCAGTGGCTGCTCTGCCCGTCACAGCGCGGGTGCTGCTGAGCTGGGTGGGGCTGGTGGATGGCACCAAGGACTCCAGCACCTGAGGGGTTGGACATGACGGTGGTGCTAGGCAGGTGTGCGGGTATGTGGCCCAGGCCGGCAGGCATGGGGCTGTCAGTCCAAAGCAGCCACTGTCCTGACTCGGGGCCCTCCATGGGCACTCAGAGCCGACTGGGAAAGGTGGGCAGGACATGCTGGCATGTGACAAGGCCCACAGCAGCCCCCAGCCTCACTCACCCTCCCTCAGTGGTTACCACGCTCCCGTGGCCCGAGGGCACCAAGCAGGGGGGGATCACCTTTCTCACCACGGTCCCACCCGGCTCATCAGGGCTTTCACCCTCCCAATATGACTGCAAGTGTCTTGTCTGCTCACGGACTTGCAAGGTGTGCAGTCCTCCTCTGTGGGTGCCGGGGGTCTCCCAGGGTGACTGCAAGCCCTGCAGGGTAGGGCACTTCAACCATGTCCCCCCACAGCCCCCAGCTGGCAGGATGAGTAATGGATGGATGGGTGGGTAAGACTGCCCAGCCGCCTCTGGGTGGGGACAGATGTACCCAGGGCCGACTCCCTCAAATGTCATCCCAACAGCCCCTTTATTCCCCATTTTGCAGATGAGGAAACTGAGGCCCAGCAATGATAGTTTGTGGCAGAGCAAGGACTTGGCTTGCCCATGCCCCATTCTCTCAGGTCTAAGTGGGCAGCCTGAGTCTGTTTGTTCTCCTCCTGGGAGACTTAGGGGCTGCTGGGAAGCAACACCAGGGTCAGGTTTTTCTGTTCGGTGAGGTCTTAGACGTTTGTGAACCCTTGAGGGTCCCTGGCAGTCTGCATGGAGTGGCAGGTGGGGGCCCACCCTGGAGGGACCAGTGCAGTGATAAGGACAGCTGCTGTAGTGTGTCCATATGCACACAGCTTTGTCCTGCTGGAGTGTGAGCAGTACCACCTAGTAAAGCATAAAGTGTCTCAGATGATGCTAAGTGCAGGGAGGGAAGAGGGGTCCAGGGAATAGCAAGCAGGAGCAGGGCCATTTCTACGTAATATTGTCAGAGAACACCTCTCCTGTAAGGTGATGTTGAAGCAGAACCCTTAAAGAACTGAGAACTGAGGACCTAAGTCTGGAGTCCAGGAAGAGCCCTCCAGAAAGCAGAAGCAGCACATGCAAAGGCCCTGAGGCAAGAATGGATGCCCAGCTGGGGCAGATGGTACGAGTGAGGTTAGAGAGATAGGGCCTTGTAGGTCCTGTGGCATTTGGCTTTTCCTCTGGGCTAGGAGGTTTTTCGAGATTCCAAGCAAAGAATTGACTGACCTGGCTTGCTCTGCCTTTTGCTCTCCCCTTGGGTCAGGCTAGATGAGGAAGGAGGAAGCAGGAGGGTTGGTCCAGAGGCTCACAGGTCACCCAGCCAGCCGTGAAGGTCGCTTGGACAGGCAGTGGTGGTAGAGGTGGTGAGAGGTTGGGTACAGGCTGTGCATGTCGAGGTGGCAGTGCCAGGACTGGCTAACAAAACTGTGGCTTCTTCGTAGAACTGGCTGCGACTCTACGGCTACCTGCCCCAGCCCAGTCGATACATGTCCACCATGCGCTCTGCCCAGATCCTGGCCTCGGCCCTCGCGGAGATGCAGCGTTTCTATGGGATCCCCGTCACAGGTGTACTCGATGAGGAGACCAAGGCGTGAGTCTCTCCTCCCAGCCCCTCTCAGCCTTCACAGGCACCTCTGCTTCCTCTGGCCTGTTCTGAGGAGGGCCTGACTTCCGGAGTTTCCAGCGATGAGTGGCCTGGGTAACAAAGAGCAAATGATGATTTCTCTCTCTGTACCAGTTTGGACTGGACACAGTGGCTGCCCGAAGCCTTGTGTTGAGGCTGGATCCAAGACTGGCATGGGTACAGGGAGGCCAGTATACAAGCCCTGGATGGGGCATCCTCTCTAGGCCTTGCTCTCAACCTAACAGAGGTGAGCAGACCTAAAGCCACATTTTTTAAGAAGCACAGAGCATAACAGGCCAAGAACTGGAGGCCTCATCCCGTTCTTGGGTGACACTCATGAGAAGGGGCTCACCTTTAACAAGCCACTGCTGGGCACGAAGTCTTCCAGTACAGGAAGACTGTTCTATCGGAAATCAAAGTTGAGTCTCCCCACCGCCATCACATCCATAGCAGGGGCAGCTGGGAGGTGGGAGGGGACCGTAAGTAGACTGCATGGGAGAGGCGGAGCCAAAGCAATAGGTGAGCCGAGGGGAGGCTGAGGCTCACCCCTTCACCCCTCCATACCTATGGCCCAGGTGGATGAAGCGGCCTCGCTGTGGGGTGCCAGACCAGTTTGGGGTGCATGTGAAAGCGAATCTGCGGCGGCGGAGGAAGCGTTATGCCCTCACTGGGAGGAAGTGGAACAACCACCACCTGACTTTCAGGTAGGGGCCCAGCTGTCCAGCCAGTGGTCCTGCTCCTCTCAGTGGGCTAAGCTTCACTCAGGCTTCCGTTCCCAGCAGCCCACCCCAGGTCCCAGCCTAGACAGTCCAGCCCACTCCCATGCTGCGACCAGCCACACACTGGAGTCTCCCTGCAGGGAAGGTCGAGAGCTTTCCAGCCGCTTCCACCCCAGCCTTCTTGCCGCCCAGTAGCCAGAAGTCTGGGCCGGCCTCACTGGCTCCATGGGCTCCTGTAACACTGCATCTCTGGGAAGGCTGGGGTGTGGGAATCCAGGCACCCAAGTGGGCAGGCAGCAAGGCACCTGCAAAAACCTCAGTTGGGCATTCCCCTTCTTTCTGCTGAGTCCTTGAGAAAAACCCCGAGGCAAGCATGCCTCTAACCATGTAGCATTTCCCTAGGGCTCCCTTCCTGTTTTCAGTCTAGTCATGGCTCCACCTCTAGCTCCATTTCCCAAGAAAAAGTAGCTCGAGTGATCACTTAGACCTCAGGCCCCCGGAGTGAATTCATGGCCCACCCAGCCACAATGCCCCCTTTGCATTTCATGGACATCTGTCCAGCATGCAGAAGCTTAATTACTAGTAGTTAATTAGAAGCTTAATTAGGAGTGGGCCTCCTCACAGTGTACTGTGTGCAGGCTCTGTGCTGTGAGTTATTTCATTTAATGCTCACAGGGATCTCAGAAAGAAAGCATGGCTCCCATTTCCCATTTTAAAGAAGAAGAAATGGAAATTCAGAGATGGCAGCCTCCAACTGGGGCGTGCCTGGCCCTGTGGTCAACATTCAGAAGTGCTTGGCCTGGGTTTCTCAACCTCAGCCATCTGCATCCCATTCCCTAGGTTTAGCCACAAAGCACCTGTACTTTTATTTACTTATTTTCTTACTTAAAATCAGTTTGTCTGCCCTAATGCAAACTTACATGGTGGTATTTTAATGAACTACCAGGTCTGAAAAATTCTAATTTACATCGCAGTAAATGAACAGTTGACACTGACAGCCTTAGGTGTGTTCCTTGGGGACAGAGTAGCCCTCGGACCAGCATCCACTCACATGTCTCCCTGCCTATTGCAGCATCCAGAACTACACAGAGAAGCTGGGCTGGTACCACTCAATGGAGGCAGTGCGCAGGGCCTTCCAGGTGTGGGAGCAGGCCACACCGCTGGTCTTCCAGGAGGTGCCTTATGACGATATCAGGCTGCGCCGGCAGAAGGAAGCTGACATCATGGTTCTCTTTGCCTCTGGCTTCCATGGCGATAGCTCACCATTTGATGGCACAGGTGGCTTTCTGGCCCATGCCTATTTCCCTGGCCCTGGCCTGGGTGGGGACACCCATTTTGACGCAGATGAGCCCTGGACCTTCTCCAGCACTGACCTGCATGGTGAGGATGATTAGCCCGGATGGGGACAGCACCAGAGCTGGGTATGGCCCCTCTGAGTGGGTTTAGCTGCTGCAGGGTTGGACAGGAAGAGCTTCCCCTGGTCAGGTCTCAGAGCCATGTGTTAGATCTTGGTCTGCTGTCCCACCATCTCCAGTGGGAAGTAGAAAGAGAAGGGTTTGTTGTACCCATTTTTCAAATGGGGAAGTTAGAGGGCAGAGCTCAGAGCAGCTCAGCCTCATCCGAGAGGGAAGCAAGGGTAACCTCAGTCCAGGGGGCCCAGATGACCAGGTGCTGGAAGGGGTCAGAGTGACCGTGCTGCCTGCTCTCACCACAGGGAACAGCCTTTTCCTGGTGGCAGTGCATGAGCTGGGCCACGCACTGGGGCTGGAGCACTCCAGCAACCCCAGTGCCATCATGGCCCCATTCTACCAGTGGATGGATATCGACAACTTCCAGCTACCCGAGGACGACCTCCGGGGCATCCAGCAGCTCTATGGTGAGTGTCTGCCACTGGTGGGCCCTGCCTGCCTGCTCCCAGCTCCCAGCCCCGCGACACATAGGCACTGCTGCTAAACCACTCTGCAGAGGAGGAAACAGGCCCAGTGAGGATCAGTGATTTTCCCACATTACTTGGTAAGTGGTGGTGTTGGAAATCAAACCCAGGCCTGGCCAGTGTCAGGGCCTGGTTCTCAGAGCCCATGTTGTGGTTCCACGCAGGGGCAGTGAGGGAACGCAGGTGACTCTCCTTCCCTCCTCAGCCTCAGCAATATTCCTACTAGACCAAGGGTGCCCCAGAGTCCCTGAACCCATCCCTCCCCACCACCACACTTAGCTCGGGCCTGCCACGGGTCCTGCCGAGTGCTGCTGCTTTATCACTGAGGGTGACAGCAGGTGGAGAGGGGTCTGCTATGACAGACAGGACCTTTCACTCAGGTATGCCTGCCGCTGGGGCCTTGGGGTCCCAGAATTCTGAGTGGCAGAATCTGGTAACCAGGCTGCGTTCTGGGACTGCTCCTCTCACTCTTGCTCCCTGCCTCTCTCTCTAGGTACCCCAGATGGTCAGCCGCAGCCCACACGGCCTCTCCCTACCATGACACCCCGGCGGCCAGGCCGGCCAGACCACCGGCCCCCTCGGCCCCCCCAGCCACCACCACCAGGCGGGAAGCCAGAGAGGCCCCCAAAGCCAGGCCCTCCAGCCCAACCACGAGCCACAGAGCGGCCTGACCAGTATGGCCCCAACATCTGTGATGGCAACTTTGACACAGTGGCTGTGCTTCGAGGAGAGATGTTCGTGTTCAAGGTCTGGTCCCACCCTCCTGGTGCCTCCCCCAGCCCCAACAGGCAAGCAAGCTCCAACCAAGCCCATGCAGAGCCTTGCCCTGTTCCTACTAGACCAAGGGTGCCCCAGAGTCCCAGAACCCATCCCTCCCTACCATGCTCAGGCACCTCTGCCTTTTCCCCACTGAGCAGCCCCTGGAGGCCATCAAACCCTAGACCCTAGATGAGCGGAAACCAGCCCCAAGAGGCTGATAAGGGTCACACTCTACCAGGCCCAGCTCTCTCCCTAGGCCTGCCCTGGCTGTCCTGGAAATAAGTACTTAGTGGTACTCAGTGACCTCCCCCTGGACCCTCCCTGACCTGGAAAGGGGCAGTTGGAGGACAGGGCCTCCCCCAGCCAAGGCAGCTTGCCCACCAGTGCCCATACACCCTGCCCCTCAGGGCCGCTGGTTCTGGCGAGTTCGGCACAACCGTGTCCTGGACAACTATCCTATGCCCATCGGCCACTTCTGGCGTGGTCTGCCCGGTGACATCAGTGCTGCCTACGAGCGCCAGGATGGCCGTTTTGTCTTTTTCAAAGGTAGGCTGGGTAGGTGTGTGTGGAGGGGCTGGGTATCCCTCGTGCTCAGACCTCAACCCAGCTGAGCCTGAGAGGAGAAAAGAAGCAAAGAGCCGCAGCTCACATCTCATCCTGTGGGCTCACTTTGCGGGGACAGGGACACCTGTCCGTGGATGGCCAGTGCACCTGGCAGCAAGGCGACAACAGTGGGTAGAGAGAGGCCAGGGCGATTCAGCAGTTCTTTGTTCCAGAGGCAGCCTGGATTGAGGGGGGCGTTTCTGCCCATCATCTGTAGCACAGGGGCGCAGCTTCCTTTCCATCCATCCTTGCCTGTTGTCCTCACAAGAGCAGGCCTCCCAAGCCCACTCTGATGGTCTGTCGGCATGACAAAGGTCTTGAGGGGCAGCACCCCCGATGGTGGGCTGTGTCTGCAGCCCTTGAGCCTCAGTGAGGCAAGGACTCCCTGGGGACAGGGCTGAGCCCACTAGAAGTGAGGACTGCGAGCCACACACCCTATCACCAGCCCCCAAATCCAGGCGGAGACCCTGTTCCTCTTTACACAAACCAGGAGCGAAGGTCCATGTACAATGCGTGGGTGTGTCCAGTGTGAGCAGCTGACTTGTGTGTCACCAGTGTCCAGGGAGTGGATGGCGTGAGTGGCACATGTCCTGGGCGTGTGGGTGTCGAGGCTGTCATGTACACCATTGTGAGTGATCTCATGCATGTGTGAGTGCCAAGATGGGCAGCAGTGAGCGTGAATGGGTTTGCAGGGCCAGAAGAGCATCTCCTGCAGCCCCTGCCCCCAGGCCATCCTCACCTCCCACTCCTCCTGCAGGTGACCGCTACTGGCTCTTCCGAGAAGCAAACCTGGAACCTGGCTACCCACAGCCGCTGACCAGCTACGGCCTGGGCATTCCCTATGACCGCATTGACACGGCTATCTGGTGGGAGCCCACGGGTCACACCTTCTTCTTCCAGGAGGACAGGTGAGTGGCATGGCCCTCCTCTAAAGGGGAGGCCTCCACCAGGCCCCTCACTCACTCTCAAGCCTACCCAGAAGAGCCCACTGCCTGGAGGAAACAGCACCAGCCCAAGCAGGTCTCTAGGTCCCAGCCTGGTGCTTTTGATCACAGGTACTGGCGCTTCAATGAGGAGACACAGCATGGAGATCCTGGCTACCCCAAGCCCATCAGTGTCTGGCAGGGGATCCCTGCCTCCCCCAAAGGGGCTTTCCTGAGCAATGATGCAGGTAATCTCCCAGTCTGCTCACACCCCTACTGTAACCCAGAGGGTCCCCAGTATTGCAGTGGCATGTATGGGGGCCATAGCCTTTCCTGCATCGTCTTCCCCTTCTTACTGAGAGGCAGACTAAACAATATGCCTCAAATCCCACTGCCAAGAAGCCTTTGGGGGGCCTTGCGTTTCATGGGTGCATGCTTGGCTCAGTGTTGGCATCACACATCGGCCTGGAAGGGAAGCCTGGTCTCTGTCACTATCACTGAGCTACGGGGAGATGTGGCTCTTTTAGTTCTCTGGCAGGGTCTGTGGTGCATTTAAGAGAAACCATTAACCTTGGTCCTCAGGCTCTACATCCTCAGGCTCAGGGGAGACCCTGCTTGCTTTGCTAGTGCTGGGGCAAGTTCGTGGCTTGTGTGTGTGTGGGTGTCACTTTGCAGCTGCTCTGATTCACCCTTTGCTTCAGAGCTGCCCTTCCCGGTGTCAGTGGGATACAGGCAAGGTGCCCAAGGCCGGAGAGCCAGTCCAAGGTGGCGACCAGTTCCGCTCCAGGTCCATGCAGGCTCAAGGCCACATAGCCACACTGGCCTCTGGGATGAAGCCAATCTCAGGACAGGGCGGCAGGGTTCTCTGGCTATAGGACCCAACCCAGCAGGCTGCAGGTTCCTCCTGTACCCTGTCAGCCTAGCCAGGTGGCCCAGGATTCTAGTCGGGCCCTTGACACAAATCCATCTGAGCTGCGATAAGTTAGAAAATAATGTATTTCAAAATGCTCAGAGAAAGAAGGCGTTTGGGGTTTTTGTTTGCTTTTTGTGCTGGTTTATTTTGACTTTGGTGCTGTGGATGGAAGCCAGGGCCTCGAGCAGGTTCAGCACACGCTGTACCACTGGGCTACATCCTCTGCCCTAAGGCTGGCGTGTTAGAGCCCCTTTAAGCATGCCCTAGTCGTGAGAGTCTCCACCTGTGGCAGGTGGGGCCTGGCCTGAAGCCACTGTGGCCTGCTTGTCCCCACAGCCTACACCTACTTCTACAAGGGCACCAAGTACTGGAAATTTGACAACGAGCGCCTGCGAATGGAGCCTGGCTATCCGAAGTCCATCCTGCGGGACTTCATGGGCTGCCAGGAGCACGTGGAGCCCGGACCCCGCTGGCCCGATGTGGCCCGTCCACCCTTTAACCCTGACGGGGGTGCAGAGCCCGGGGCGGACGGTGATGGCGCAGAGGGTGATGTGGACGATGGGACGGGGGCAGAGGGAGACAAGGACAGGGATGGGGGCAGCCGCGTGGTGGTGCAGATGGAGGAGGTGGCACGGACAGTGAATGTGGTCATGGTGCTGGTGCCGCTGCTGCTGCTGCTCTGCGTCCTGGGTGTTGCCTACGCTCTGGTGCAGATGCAGCGCAAGGGGGCACCCCGCATGCTGCTCTACTGCAAGCGATCCCTGCAGGAGTGGGTCTGACCTGCACCTCCTGCTCCACGCACGTGGTGCTCGAGGGCTGGGCAGCACCTGCGGTTCCTGGATGGCTCCCTGGAGTACCCCAGAAAGGGCCTTTGGGGACTCAGGTCTGGGTGGGAGCCCCTCCCAGCCAGCACACATCCTGTGAGTCCTTTCTCGTTTACTTAAGCCCAGGTATCTTTTTTTTTTTTTTTTTTTT